GATCAGTTTTTTGCCAGCAAAGACCAAAAATTTTATGAGCGTGGAATTATGCTACTACCAGAAAGATGGCAAAAGGTGTTGGACCAGAACGGTCAATATATAATTTAATAAAGTATTTGTTTATTATACGAAAACTGTCTTTCATTTCCACAAAAAAAAGCGAAATGACTTTCCGAACAACCCATTATGAACGCATTGAAATTCAAAGAAATAGAGATTTACAGTAAACATTTGAAACTTTCATCTTCCACCCTCCATTTGGTTATTGACAACGGTTGAAAGAGACCTGAAAAAAAAATTAAGTTAGACACCACAACACAAAATCGTGTTAAGTGGAAATTGAGAACAACCCTAGGTAAATAGTGTAAGGCCTAGCGAAAGAAGAAAAAGATTGAAAACTTTCATTTATGGAAATTAATCATGTAGTCATATTTACTGAAGAAATAGAGGAAGTCATTTTGTTTTATTAAAAAATGACTACACTGTTTCCAATCTTACATAATCCTTCCGATAAAGTGAAGGCTAATTAAAATTAATTGATTTATTATCAAAATTATCTCGTTCTACTTTTAAATTGCCAGATACATTTCTGATTGTGGTTATCAGTTTTTCTACAATTAAACTTTGCTGATACAACATCCAATCAGGATTTTAATACCAGGAATTGACTTATTTGATAAGCACTTAAATAATATATAAATATATATTGAACACTGGTTGCTATACCGCGAAATACCTGCGTTTTAAAGATAAGAAATTCAATTTCATACGTATTTTCATGTGCTATTTTATAATAGATAAATTGGTAAATTGATAAATAAGATATTGATTTCTTGTTTCAGATGAAAACCTGATGGAAATTTCAAAGCCGGACATTCCTTGGAGGTTCTAATCATATGGGATGAGTTATGTAAATTTTTGGAAAAGAATTATATTTGGATTTAAGGTAATACAGTAGAACCTTGATAACTTAAACCTCGATAACGTAATAATCTCTATCAATTTATAAAATTTTGTGTTCCCTTCCCCTCGGAGTCCAAAACCAACGTCTATTACTTAAAATAAAAACCCTCTATAACTTAAACGAATAATTTGGGCATCGCACCTCAATAAGCAGTGAAAAGTGGTTTGAATCGGGAGAAAGTCTTCTATGTAAAAGACGAAGAATTGCTGAATTTCCTAATTTAGAAAAATCCTTGTTTACATGATTTAGGTTTAGACAGTGTAGAAATATGTAAAAGCATTAGTGTTAGTGGACCTATACTAACTAAAGGAAATAAAAAAAGCGGAAGAGTTTGCTAAGTNTTTTACATGCAATTGATTAATTATATTATTAAACGTTTATTTCTGTCAACAAAAAATTAATTACCTGTATTTTCCCAAAATCTACTTTTAATGACATTTATTAATTATTCTCGATCAGATACTTGACCATAAAAAGGAGTCAAAAGTAGCTTAGGTACGCAGAGTTGCTTTTTAAATTTACAATTAGCATCAAATTTATCTACAAGGTAAACTCTCAATAACGACACTGCTTACGGCGAAAACTCCCTATAACGTAGACTTTACTTGAGCTGGATTGCTGTTCCTCTTAGACTATTACACTAATCTATATAGATTCCGTGTAGCTTTCTATAAATATGCAACCACTCCCTTAAACAATGTATATGACCAGTGGGTGAATGAAAAAAGAAAAGAAAAAAAGAGTGTGATGTTGAGGTACGTTTCGAATTTAGACCATCTTCATAATTTCGTTTGTTTGAAGCTTTTGTAAAATTCTGTTGCTTCTTCAATAAAATCTGAAACGATTCTAGTTCAATTGAGTTTCGTTATAGGGGGTTTACTAAGTGCTTGTTTTTAATAATATTAAAATATGAATATACTTTAATTAAAATTGTTTAACTGCATTGCAGTAAATATTAATTATTAATGCTGTTACGTTATGAAAAAGAAAGTACTTAGCAAATACTATTTTAAACTTTCAAATTTTGTTTTTGGACTATTTATTTTTAAGTAATTGACAAATTTCAATAAATAGTAGACAAACAGGGCTTAATTATTTAGTATGATCGGCGCCTAAATCTAACCAAAACAAAATTGCATGGTGTAACAATTTTTTTAATAAGAATTTAGAAACTTGTAAATGAGAATTTCTTTTCCTATTCAGGGGTAGTTTCTGTTATTGGACAATCCCTAATAGAATCTGCTAATACAAAAATAGTTGGCGGTCACCTGGTAAACAATAAATCGGATTTTCCTTATCAGGTAAAACATATCTTTTATTCACTTTTCCTTAGGTCGAATTGTGTTTTCATGAGGTTTTTTATTAGATGATTAAATTGAGGGTATCGGTAGGAAAATACTTGTTAATTCTCAAATTTTTGCCAACATTCCTGGCTTCATTAGGAGATCAATGTTGTAAATTAATTTTTAAAGGCATAAATAATGTAACTGTAAACTACGGAATGAGTTATATATATATATGAAAAGTACACTTAAACCATCATAATAATTTAGGTTGAAATATTCAAAACAAAATGGTAGAAAAGGCGGAAACATGATTATTGACCTACCGTCTATCTTTATTTCAACTAGTAGGGTAGTTACTAAGTTCAACTTCGTTTTTTATTAGTTCTACATTGGTTACATTTGTTTAAATGAAAAATTAATCAATATATTCACGAGTTCAATTTTTCGTCAAAACCAATTTAACAATTAGTAATTTTATCAGTACTTATAGGTAATTAAAAAAAAGTTGCACGCTGATAAAAATTAATTCACAGAAATTCTAATCAGATGTGACGTCACTCACTCATCAAGACGGTCTAATTAATTTTAAGGCAGACCGCTAAGTAACAACTATTACGAATAATCTTATAAATTTACATATAATTAAAGTTAATTATTAAGGGTTCTACAAATATTTTAGCTTTAGGATAAAGTTGGAGGCGCATCAATAGCTTGGATTTTCTAAAATATTTTAGTTTGCCCTACAAGTTGTAACAATAACGAGTGGCGATCGTCTTCAGAGGTTCTTCCATCTCCACTGTCCACATCCAGCGTCGGAAATGGAAGGACTTCTGAAGAACCTCGCTACAGGTGCTAGCGAAACGTTGGAAAGCAATTCCAACCAACGATAGCCTTTAAACTCGAATCAAGACGTCATCAGTAAACCAAAATTTATTTTTGGTCAGCGATTTGTTTCAGTCAAAAAATGGGTAATTATCCAGAATTATCCAGGGCTACAGACCAAAATCGCTCCAAAAATGTTTTCATCTGCATAATAGAAGTAGATATTAGAAGGTTGGGGAGACAGTGTCTTATGACTTCATAAATAAAAAAGAACTTTTTTGAATGATAAGTTTTCAAAATTCGAATCACAGTTCTAAACAGTAAGTACGGTTGAGGAGATTAGGAGCAGAAGGGGGGGTGTTATAAGTTGTATTAGGTTTTAATATCCTTATCTCACGATTGTTACTGCATAATTTTTATTAATTAATGTTTAATGAAGAAACAGCTATACGTACACCATATATATGCATGTTTTAATAAAATAAAATATATAACGTGTAATTATACAACACGCTACTGAAGTAAAACTTCTTCAAACACAAACATACCGGGATAGAGGTTAAGGAATTGGTTTAATGGTATTATTTGTACACTATGCTTCGCACGGGGGCAATGCTGATAGTAAATATACTATAGAATGTCTTTATATACAACAATCACAGCTTTTTTGTNTAAATTTTTGGAAAAGAATTATATTTGGATTTAAGGTAATACAGTAGAACCTTGATAACTTAAACCTCGATAACGTAATAATCTCTATCAATTTATAAAATTTTGTGTTCCCTTCCCCTCGGAGTCCAAAACCAACGTCTATTACTTAAAATAAAAACCCTCTATAACTTAAACGAATAATTTGGGCATCGCACCTCAATAAGCAGTGAAAAGTGGTTTGAATCGGGAGAAAGTCTTCTATGTAAAAGACGAAGAATTGCTGAATTTCCTAATTTAGAAAAATCCTTGTTTACATGATTTAGGTTTAGACAGTGTAGAAATATGTAAAAGCATTAGTGTTAGTGGACCTATACTAACTAAAGGAAATAAAAAAAGCGGAAGAGTTTGCTAAGTCCCTGGATATCCATAATTTTAAAGCTTAAACTTAAACCCTTAGTAAATAAAAACCTCAATAACTCAAATTATTTTACGTTTCTCTTGGTCTTTATCTTATCGAGGTTCTACTGTACGAGGGTGGATTGATAAGTTTCCGGCCTAACCAAGAGATGACGCCACTAGGCCTACCTTGAGGTGACATTCTATAGTACCATCCTTGGATAGCTTGTAGCTATAGTTTCAGCCCGATCTCCTTGCTAGTGTAGGTTTGACAGCACGCTGAACAAGACGCCTCTGTGGTTTTCGTAAAAATGGAAAAGCAGGAAAATCGT